GAATAAGAAAAAAAAATTTTTATTAGTTATTGTGATTTTAACTTGAATTTTGAAATGTCAAATTCTCTTCGTTTATTTTCTATATTTATAAAAAAAAAATTAAAAAAATGGGATCACAAAAACACTCTTGAGGATTTTGTTGTGTTTTGTGGTTTGTTTGAGTTAATTCGATGAAATAAGTGCTTGAATAAGTTTCATACATCATATCAACATTTATTACAAAACTTCATCATTATTAAAGTATTTTTATCCATAATATAAAGGAAAAATGTAAATTTCAAATTATTTGTCACAAATAGAGTTGTATATTTATCAAATATTGATATATGATGCACAATTTCAGAGATGAATATGAATTATGGTTTATTTTATAAGTGGCTTTAGAACACATTTAAGACAACGTATGAATTCAACATAAATTTCAGGAACAAAATACCCTGAGTGATTCAAAATATGATAGATATTATCTCTAGTAATAGACAATTGTGATAAAATATTTGAGCAGATTTTTTTTAAATGAAATTTATGCTATTTCGAAACACTTAAAACTTTGGCAGCTTAAGAAAATCGATAAAAGATTATTGATATAAAAATTCAAGAATTGATATAAATAATATTTACAATAAAAATAATCAAATTTTATACATTTTTTATAAATGTGATTTACTTATGTTATGTTAAAGAAAATTCAATTTGTTGCATGCATAAGAACAAAAATAGTAAAAAAATCTTAAAATATCAATTGAAACCCTCTTTGAAAATTTTTAAATAGGAATTTTTTTAAAAAATTTTCAAATGAAATTAAGTCATATTTTAAAAAACTTATTACACATCCATAAATGAATTTCTGCTAAAACTAATGAAAATGTTGTAAATAAATTCAATATTAATATTCTTTTAATTATTTTTTATCAAAATTTGGAATTTTTTATATCTACGTTTTGAAGTTAATTTATGATGAAAATGCATATTAATATTGCAAATTTTGATCGTGAATACCAAGAAAATTAATAGATAAGTGCCATCCAAACTTGTTTGCTTCCTACATGTAACTTAATTGAGATAAAAATAATAATTATTTACACAATTTCTAGTTTTTAATATATTTATTTTTTAAAACACACTTTCAAAACTATATCATATAACCATATTCCAACATTTACATAAGAAAATGGCTATTTTCAGATTTTTACATCCATTTTATATCAACCAAATATTCATTTCATAACTTGCTTCAAAGCCTCAAGAACTTTTAATTTGATTTCAACAAAAAATTGCATCTCATTCTGTATAATGATATTGATTTCCAACTTATTGTTTAAGTCATGAGAGTCTATGCTGAAACAAAACTAGTTTTTCAACATGAATGCATTGCATTCAACATGTTAAATTTCAAAATTGTGAATTTAATAAATGAATGAATTGACTCATTTGACTTGCATTTTGAAAGCTTTGATTGTATGAACTAACACTCATTTATTACCTTTGATTTTTTAACACTTTTATAGATTATTATTATGCTTTTCAACATTAAAAAAGTCTTTCAATTCATTGAATTTGCTCCACATGTATTGAATAGTTTTTGTTTCACATGATATATTCATGATTATCAATCTCTTTCAAGAAAATTCATAAATAAATATTTATTTTATGTGGAATGAAAATTCTGAATTTTTTTCCTGCTTTCAATGATTTTGATATATATATATTTAAATATTCCTACTAACAATTATCTTAGAATTTTAAATATTTCACAATCTGTGATTCTTCACATCACTTGCATATTGAAAAAATAACTACAATTATTAGATCTATGATTAAGCTTGATGTATGAAAAAATATTCCACAATCGATTACCAACATTTAAACAATGTAGGGAAAATCAATGACATTACAAGGAAAAAACGAACAAATACATTGTGAAAATAATATTTTCCATCTAATATTTCTATGTTAACGAAATTAGTTTGTCTTTAGGATTTTTTTGGTAATTACTTTAACTTTTGATACATGTCATGTAGTATTACATTTTCAACTTGTACTGCGTAACAAGCACTTTGTAACATCAAAACACTCCAGTGACAGGAAATACTTGACACACACAATGTAACGTGGTTCACCCTCAGGGAGAGTGCTACGTCCACCAAGAACACGAGCACCTTTACTTCAGATCTTGTCACGAAAAGACTCTCTGTACAAGGTGAGACCCGAGGTATATATTCCCAGTCCAGACGACCGTCCTAGCTATAAATAGCTAGAACCTGAGGTTACTCCTTAACTAGAGTTAACCTCAACACATTTTTTCATACAATATATTTTGTTGTCCTATCATGTATTATAAAATTAAGGATAATTATTTTGAGAATAATTAAAGATTGATGTTTCATAAGCTTCCAATTTGTTTCAAATTTTTGAAATAAAATTTTGACATCAATAATTGAATTGATAAACTAATGTTGAATGCATTGAAATCCGTATCATTGTTAAGTGTATTAAAATTTATTTATTTTCCAAAATTTGAAAAAATGCAATTATTTTCAATTAGTAAAAGTTGAAATATAAATGATTGAAAATTGAAATAAGATTGATTTATAAGAAAAAAATCACAATCGTCACGTCACATCAGAGATACATGGTAGAAAAAACTTTAATTGTATCAATTTAAAACAACAAGTAAGCAATCTCTAAGCTTGTTAATTACAAATTGAATGTGATAATTAGTGAGTAAGTTGAAAACAAAACATCACATTTCAAAATTACTTTTGAACCATGTTAGGGTTGGATAGAACAATATCACTATTCCTTGAAGCAAGTTTTTCCCATTGATTTAGCAAAACCATTTTCTGATTTTATTTAATTACACTTTAACAAGGTAATCAACCAATAATTTTCATTAATTTAATTTCGGATAAAACAATATAGCTTTGGGAAAAATGGACTGCAAATAGAAAGTATAATATCAAAAGCCACGATTGTAAAATTTACGTTTTTTTGCTAAGGTCAAGCAGTCACGATGCGTAAGTCATTTTCATCATGTGTTGAATTGAATACAAACCTTGAATCAAGCGAATTATCTTTGCCTTATGTAAACAAAAATTTGAGCAATAGTTTAGTATTAAATATAGATGTATTTCAATTCAAGTGAACTTTCATTATATTCTCAAAAGTTATATTATTTTGCAAATAAATTAATTTAACCTTTGACTTTGACCAGAAAGATAAATACCTTATAAGAGTCACACAAAATCTTAGTTTATCTATTTGTACCACAATTGAGATAAAATAATATTTATTTATTCAATTACTAACTTTAAATATTTTTTATAAAGAAACAAAGATGTAAACATGAATTATATCAATCAATTCCAAAAATCCACATAAAACTAGTATTATTTATTTCAAAAACCTCATGTCATTACACATAATGTCAAACAACAAATAGATTGATATACATGCAAGATTGTGTGAAAGTCAACCATGGCAATACAGTTTTGCTAAGATTTTTTCATTGAAACAAATAAATATTGTAGTAATTGTTTGCTACTAGTATTCATTTTACTACATGAAAATTTAAGTTTCAGAATTTTTACGATTCGGAAGGCTCAAATACAATTCATCCAGTTATTTGTTATAATGTTGCAGGACTATTGCTTATTGTTTGCATATGCTTGTAGTGTCTACTAATTTCATGTTGTGTTTTATTTTTCACTGCTGTCTTTTGTCCATACATAAAATTGTAAGGATTGTCATATTTGATGTTGTAATTACATTTTTTACTCAATTACAAATCCTTTCACAGTTTCTCTAATGCATCAGAACATAGGATCATGCATCCACGGGCTATCGCGATCTCGCCGCTAAGTGGATGTAAACCCGTCGATTGAAGATGCAGTACCATAGAAACTAATCGAATGGATGACTTGAGGAGTAATACATGTACCCTTCACCGAGCCACAAGCCAATCAAGTTTCACTATCTCGATATTGATAGGGAACTGATAAACATTTGTTTGTGTTTATTGTATGTTGATGCTTATATTATTTTATTGCAAAGATCAGTTCAGAGTAATTTTTAAACAAATGTAGATATATCTAGAGTAAATATTGGAATGATATGAATGAATTTTACCCCATCATGAACATGAGCGGCAGATAGCTAGCGAGACAATCACACATAAGTCGTTTTACAAGGACAAGTAAACAACCAAAGTCACAACGGATTGCTGCATACTATATTTGCATTATTTTGATTGAGATTTAAAATGAACCGTCTTAGCGGAAAGAGATGGCGACGATATCGTCACCATCTCCATAGCGTTATCTACATTACAATCGAAGAAATCGCATCTATACTTCATTTGCATTGGGTGAGTTAGATCCATGATAACACTATTTTGACCAATTATAAATGAAGTCAATACCACGATCTCTAAATCAAATTTAACAATGATATACTGATTGAGTTGTATCTTAACGTCAAAAGGAATTAAGTTGATACAATCTAGAGAATCTCATGTGCTAGTCACGAAAGTTATCCTCCTTTGTGAAATAATGTCTTTATTCAAAAGACTGATCTGCATATTTTTTCTGTGAAATTCGAAATCTGGAAACATTTATATGCAAGGGAAAAAAAATCATCGTATGGGAGTTGGTTGGATGAGGAGCGCAATGCAACTAGAGAAAAAATATGTCGAAACTATATATTTGCCATCGATGCGAAGCAAGTGACACACCTCAAATTTGTGATAACGATTTTTCACTTGTCGAGTAGTTCCGTTTCAAATTTCACAGCCCTTTATTGCGTACAAATTTTGCCACAGGTACAGGCAGAAGTGTACGAATTTCCATCGATGAATTTGGTGAAACCTTCTCGCAATGAGGCTTGTAGCCTCACGATGAAATCAAATGTTTCCAAGGAATGGCTTCACGAGCGGCATTATGTGCATGGGAAGAAGAGATGATATATAGACGATGGGGCCAGCGATTGGAGAAAGGGAGCTGGAGAAGACCCTGGACGGTGGCCAAGAAGTTGGCGCTATAGTCGTCGATAGCCAGTGCTTTGTCCGGTAACAAATGAATACTTCGTTTAGGTGTAGCAGGAGGTGGAGGCATGTGTTGCATGAAGGTCCTTCCACATCCAGGGAGTCTGTAGCCAGATTACCGGTAGAAATCTCACCTACTGTAAGTATGTACTGGATGCCACAAATTTCTGGGCTTCACGTATGCCGAATTTTCCCGAGAGGATTACTGGGGTTCGGGTCCATGGTCGCCAGGGTCGAGGGCACGAACGCTCCGACCATGCGTAGGCCATGACAGGTGTTCTAGGTTTGAACGAATTGTAGCAACGGGCGAAACTTGAACATGAACATGTGTGTAAAATTTCAAAATGGCCAACAGCCACTGAAGGAGTCGCCTTCGAAAATGTGGTGCAATTCGTACTTTATCGCTGGATCTTTGGCTAATGAGGTTTAATATGCATGAACAGGCCGGTGTGTCGTGCCTCGCGAACCGGGTCACGGAATTGAAGCCGTCTCCGTCGTACCAAGGGTTGGAATCTTTGTTGCGGGGCTGCCCATCACACCATGGGGAAGGATTCGAAGATGGTGACAGCGAGGGATGAACATGCCGAGGAAGAGAGTATGAGTGATGTGGATTATGAGGCTTTGAAAGGGGATGAAGAAACTGATGATGATGACGACGAAGCCGGTGATGACGAGACCACCGAGGACGGGCAGAGTGGCGACCGCGTCGGTGATTCCGAAGATGCTGAGGATGAAGAGGCTGCATGTCGAGAGAACGAAGAACTTCCTGGGGAGGGAGGTGGAAGAAATGGTTTCCGAAATCCACACGCTGGGGACACCAGCGATGAATTGGACAATGACAACATGATGTCTGAAGCGGGAAGCTACCCAGGAGCTCTTACTTTGGAGGAAGACATTGGCGAAGTTTTAGCTGGGAAAGTTAAGCGACGTCGAACATTAGGGAAAAGAGATCGACAGCGAGCACGAAAATCATCATGGGAGGACCTCCTTGGTATGAATGATGCTGATTGGGACGACGAGTCTGATGACGATGACTGGTCTCCAATTTCAGCGTTGAAGCTTAGACCTCACTGGTTCTGCATCAACTGCACCATGCCAAACTCAGAAAATCTCCAGTTATGCTCGGTGCGTTGTACAATTTTCTACCAAAGAAGTTGTAATTGGCTTAACAGAAGTAGTTCCGATGATTAAGTCCAACTCGGTAACTTTTGCTGTTGATGTGGTTCTTCTTGGATGGTGCTATATTTACTTTCATTTGCCAATTCGGAGAGAAGGTTTCGAACAAGGCGACTTTACACCTCCATTCACCACAGATAGTTTCTGTAAATTTCAGAGGTTAGAGGAGGTTTAGCTTTCTACTGATCTCCCATGATTTATTCCAAGAAGGTGAAGCCAGGCTTCACCTTATTGGAATAAATCATGGGAGATCAGTAGACTAATCTTGAAGACCTTAATTTATTGTACAGCTTGTATACTTAATGTCACCTAATAGAAAATTTGTTTCCAAATTTCAGAAGTGTGGAGAAAATGTCAAGTCAGATATCTTAAGCCGAGGGCATCTTTCTTCACCGCTTGATCCTGCTCGGTCACCCTCATCTACTGAGCCGACAGCAAATCATGAGTTATCCAAAGGTTGATATAAGTTTCTGTCTCGAAGTTGGAGCTGGATTTTTAGACACTCGGTCTGTATGGGCATCAGATGCTGAAAGAGATCTCCTGTATCTTGGTCTGTGCCATTTTTCCTACAAAGTTGGGTATGCGTTTCAGTGGATTCTGCATTCTTACATCAAGAGCGTTTTGTACTACAGACAGTTCTCCTGGTTCGTTGGGTACATCCTCTGCTTGCTCGTCAGATCATACCACAGAGACATCAAAGTCAGGAAAAACTGTTCTTGGTTTTGATGAAAGAATGCTCTTGCATTATGAGGCAAGTCAATCCAAGCAAGACGCAATAGGTTCCTGATGTATGTTTCTTCTGAGTGTTTGTTGTTTTAGGAGCCATTTGCATCCTTATAGAATGAATAGTGGCGTCCTCGCTGAAATCTTTGTTTTCCTCTTGAGCAGCAGACTCATATGAAGTCTCACCCTCATCCAGAACGGCCTGATCGTTTGCGGGTTATAATTGCTGGCTTGACTGCGGAAGGTATGTCATCGGAGGGACCTCGGTATAGTTGAAATCACAATTTGAGCAGCAAAGGATTAGAGAGGAGTATGGGAGTATGCTTGCAACTATGAGTTGCTTAATGGTTTAACTCGTAGAGCATATTTGTAAATTTTTTCAAGTGAAAAATTTTCTATCCTTGAGCAGTTAATGTCGTGCGAAGTTGTGTCTCCACTTGTAGATGTGTATTATTCACAATATATCAATCATGTAGTGAGCAATATAAACCTCATTTATCTCAAAAAGCATGTAATTTATTTTTGGTAGCCAACCAGGGTATGAACAAAGTTTAGCAATGTTGAATATACGAGATTCTTTCTAGGGATAACTTCTGAAATTGGGAGGCCGGTAGCCTGCATGCCGACATGTCGGGAAGAAGCTATTATCTCATGCTACGGTGATAGGAGGATGTAGCAAGTACTTGTGTATCTTAGAGGAACCACCGTGGTGTAACATGCAAGCAATATCACCACAATTGTTGGGACAGTGATCATTGTTCACAGTTTATTGCTGTTAGAAGGATTTGCTTATTTTAGGCCCTGACTTCGTGTAGAGCCCTGACTCTTCTCGTGTATCTGAAAAACACACGTGACTTTATACACAGGTTCATCAACCAAGGAATATCAAACCAAGGAAGAATTATTTTCCCCTTAGCGGTCGTGCAAAAATATAAAAATACTGTTTCTCGTCGCCTAGCTTGAGAATAATCTGTTGTAGCTTCATTGTACTCTTGTGCCTTTCCGAGGGATAGCGGCGAGTGGAAGCACACCCATACTCTACGTTGATGAGAGGCCTGTATCGAGTCCCAACAGATTTAAGTAGAGTCTAGATTAAGAATATTTACATTGGCTACTGTGTGCTACTCTTAATTTTTCGTTCTTCTTGTTATTGGAATCTTTTACAGTACTTCAGTAACGACTTGGACTGCCTTATACTGCCAGAACGTATGTATTTTATTGCTTCCGTAGTTCTCCAGCTGTACCTTATGTTCATGTTGAGCTTTGACCACTCATCACATTTTGTACCGCGCAGCTGTCATGGATTTTACTATTTGATCGTGGCTTTTAAATTTCATCATAACCCCTGCCGCTCTTATTGAGTACTTCTCCTCGGTCTTGACAAATACATATGTCAATAAATCAATTCCTCAGCAACGAAATGTGGATACAGAAGTAACAATAATAGGTTTTTACTTCATAAAGCTTACAATTCGTTGTTGTTCACATTCAAGCTTTACCACATATCCATGATATGTATTTATCACGTATGTGTTTTCACATTCCAGATATATTCAATAAGGGGGTCTCACGAACTATCCCTGCAAGTCATGATCAGAGTAGTACACACCAAACTTCTTCTTTGAAGCTCAAAACTTTTTTGCTTCCACGCAGATCTCACTTATCATTACTGTAAGTTTTTTTTTCCCAATACAGGCCATACCAAAATTGTCATGGAAGTTCAGAACCTTTTACTTTTACGCAAGGCTCCTTGTTATACGTTGGAGTTCATGTTTGACACACGTACATTCTCTCGCTCTATCAGGCTATTGTCCTTTATATCCTACCGTTGAGTAGATGTTTATAATGTCTAGTTAGGTGGGTAACTTTTACTGGAAATCAGTTGTGGTTTGATATTGTCTGTTTTTTTTGCCCACTAACCACTGCTTCATTGATATTGGAGACCATTATCCATCCTATCCTAGAATATATGTATTTCGAAATATAATCTCACCGGATTTTATTGCGACAGATGAAGTTTGAATCCAAGATTTCTTTCGGTGTTGTTTGTCACATCTACTTGTTTTGCATGATTTACGATTGCACGATGAAACACCTTCATGCCCTACCACTTACCTTTACAGTGACACTTCGATTCATCACATTTTCTTGACAATTTCCACAATGGTTTCTTGTGGAGAATTGAGACAGACTTAAAGTGAGGTCCAAACTTAAGCTAATATGCAGTGCCAGCACTAACAACTTGCTGTCATATTCTCTCTTCCTTACCTGTCTTTTGGTCCTGGGGTTTCTAGGCTATCTCCCGTATCGTCCCGTTTGGGCTTCTACTTCCACCTTTTTTCCTTTACTAGTCTATTTGCTTTGCCACTGGTTTATTCCTTGTTAATATATCTGAGTCTCAGACATCTGTTGATTTCTGATTTTGAATGTTGTCTGTAAAAACTTTCTATGTTTCAAGTCCATTTTTCCAACTTGGTGCCACAATTTATCTACTGTAGGTCTGTAAAATGGTCATGAAACTTAACGTAGTCTGTGAGGGTCTATCTAGTTCGTACTTTTACTTCCCTATCTTGGTGACAGATGGCTTGGATGCACGTCTTTTTATTTAGTGATGATCCTCGTGAATCCTCGTTTTCCCTGTATTGTGCATTCATGGATACTGTTTCTCCGAGGGGTGCGTTTTTCTAGATTGAGTTTACAATGATATATGGATCCTGGTGTTCACTCAGGGTTCATTTTAGTCCAGTTGCGATTTTGTCCTCTCTTACAATGGTTCTTTTGATGCTTTACACTTGCACGTCCTTTTTTCCAATTTAGTTGCATTCACTATTCTGGATGCCGCCAATCAGGAATGCTTGCTTCTCCGGTCTACTTATAGCATATTTGTGCCAGACAATATTTGTTAAAAACATTTAAGATGTGAGAAATTACCAGAGTTTTCACTTTGGTTTGTTGAGGTTCTAGTTCTCCAGCCGGCGAGTGCAGAAATCTATGGAACTTGTTATCCACTGATGAAGCAGCCAATTCTAAGTCACGGTAAAGCTGACGCTTCTTGTTCGGAACGGTTGATGGTACGTGAGGAATGTTTTCCGTTGGACTAGATCCTACACACCGCACCTCCTTACCACCTGTAAAACTTCGACACTGAGACTCCTTTGCGTATTCCAAAATGTGTAGTATACTTTGTCGGTATTTTTCAGAAGTACCATCTAGATTAGCGTTTTTTCGGTATCTCACATGCTAAGTCGTTGCGGCTGCTCATGTACTATTTGATCTGTTGGGGCTTGAGTTATTTTCAAATCGTGAGGTTCAGTGCCTGTTGTTGCCTGGTACCCGCCAACGAAGTAGCTGGATCATATGACGATGATATGCGTTGTTGATCATACCGCACATTTATTTGTCATAATATTTCTTTTGATTTTGATCGTGTTTCATTTTCTGACTTCCATATACGTGCATTTCATCCCTCGGATTCTAGCTGCATGCTTTCTTTTCCGTTTACTCCATTACAGACTTCCGTTTTGAGACTACTCTAAGAATGTCTACTCAAAAGGATTTCTTCAATCGGATGCTATGCCATGTTTTGGGCCTGTTCTTCATTGCTTTACCATTATGTGATATTGGATTATGCGGTAAATATGTGTTACATCAGTCCCTTTGGTTTACCTACAGGTCTTTGCTCTTTGGCCTCCTTGCGTGGCAACCCTTGAGATCGATCACAACGTATTTCAACTGTTGGATAATTTACCATGGTTCTGTTCGTTATTGTCTATTGCTTACTATGGGTTTTTGTCACATTGAAAGTCACGGCAGCTCTACCTCTGGAATTGTACTCTTTACTCCATTTCACATTTGCTCCCCTTGCCTTTCAAGTCTTGTTGTTGATGACGTGTTGTTTCAAATGCTAGCTTATGTGTTTTTCCTGCATTTTCCAGTGCCAGCCTACGGTGCTCCGGACCAGCTCACAGTCGACAAAGACCCCGATGCGAAGATCTATCCTTGTTGTCTTTGGTCTTCACTCTATGACAGTCAAACGTGTGTCCTTTTGTAAACCGTTACCTGTTTGGCATAAATTGCTAGTTTATTTGCAGCTTCAGATACTTCCTTACCATGTCTATCTCGTTGTCTAAGAAACGTTGTCAATCTTTGTAATGCTTGGAACTTATTGGTCTAAGATATCTTAGTTTAGGATCTAAGGAAACGCTAGATTTAAATGGTTAAATCATCTGCACAGTTTCAAACAATGAAGTTCTCTGGTTTGTACAAGTTTCTTCCGAAATGATCGATATGAAAGAATTTCTCTTTCCACGCTCATTTTCAGAAAGTTATAAGTACTTCCTTACTGCCTACTCACACCAACACATATTCATGGTTTCCTAGATGACAAGTGTTTAAAAATTTTCCTCGATAGGTAACATGTTAGAATCTCTCACCCGCTGCATTTAGAAGATATATATATATATATATATATATATATATATATGTTCAAACTTGTGAAGGGTTGTAAATATAAATAAATATTTCCTTTTGTTGATAATCTGTCGGTTCTCTGTGCGGAGACCACTCTACCCTTTGGAAGTTGCATCTTGACGTAAAATTCCATCGTGGAGGGATGCACCCAACTCACATCTGCGAGCTCAACCTGTCTTCATCTTGTGCCCATATTATGTTTGCGATCTTTCACTCACCAATGTCTATGAAGTAATGAAACTTTCAAGAGATGTGTTCCAGATACATTCATATTTAGATAATTAAATTTCCACATAACATTCTAAACTAGTTGACGCGAACCAAGTATGATAGTGAGCTATTATCACTTCATTTCATCCACTTGATGCTAAACTCCTGTGTCCAGATTCTTGGTTTCACAAAACAAATTGAACTTATCTGCTTATTCATCAGTTCTTCACATGCTTTTACAATAGCTGGTTGCGTCCTGTTTTCGTTTTACAGGCTACAGCGTGCTCTTGCTTCTTATTTTTCTGTGGCCTTGTTGGTTTGCTCTACTGCCTTCTTCATTCCTACTTGGAACCAATCAGATGATCTATTTCAGCTGAGAGTACTAGTCGGAGTAGATTCCAAAAATGCACGTAGGAAGCAATACATGATTTTTTTTTCTTATAATCAATTTCCGATGGAGAGAAGATATATGTAGCTTCTCTCTTACCTTGATTAATTTATGCGGTGTGGTTGAGTAATATTATGTTCCATGGACTCCTCTAAAACTTTCTTGAAACTTGGGTATCATTTTTCTCATTTCTAAACTAGATTTCTTAAGTGTACCTACGAGATCTTGGAATGATGCACCACCTTTCAATGTTGATTATAAACCCTGGACTTTTATATAGTATCCAAATCATCCAAGCTAGCGCATCAATTTTTATTGACACTAAGACTTTTATGTAAAGTCCAAGGAAGTTATTCGCAAATTTATTTCATTAATATTTGCAGTATGCAGATTTTAGGTCTGATTTTATATGCGTCTGACTCTGTAAGTAAAAAACTTTTCGTTCGATAATTTCAAATTTGTATGCAAATTCAGAATCTTAATTACTTTTGAAGATTTTTGTCAACAAGCTTTCAATTTGGGTTGCCAGCTGGGTCCACAGGTCATCAGTCGCGGAATAGTATACATTATATTTTGCTGCAGTCTCTGGGTTTATTCAAAGACCTCTATTACCTCTTCGTTACCTATCAAATGATTAATGTTTTTGGATATCACCATACAAAAGTTTAGAATGTTTTCCTCTTTCACAATTTTCAAAGTATGAAAGAAGGAAGCCTTGAAGATGTTGGAAGCACTTACCTGCAATGCGTTGCATGCAAGTACTTCCAACATTCACTTCTTGGTGTCTTCTCAGTTATACTCCAGCTGCATTCAATTATTCAGCAAGTTGTGAAGACTTATGTAGTCATATGACGTTGACTACTGGTAGCGGAAATAGGTCCATCACAATTCGAACTAGAGAAATGTTGCTCAAGGAATCATGGCTCAACCACCTGTGACTTTTGGCGCAGAGCTTGAGATATGCGTGATTATAGTGGCGGGTGCAGGAACCGTTATTTTCTGAATCCAAAATGAGTCTGACTTAATTGAAATCTCTACTTGACGATGAATTATTTTTAATGGTCACAGGAGAATTATTCTTTTTTGATTGGTTTCTCAAAATCGCTCACCTAGTTTTCCATCACTTCTAAATTGACAGTTCTCACTGTCTTCTACATTCCACCGTCCTGCTATTTCTAGTTTTGTTCCAGTTCCTCATTCATTTGTCTTTTAATCTCTTATCATTTATGCATGACATATCTTAGCTTTTTTTAAATCGTTCTCATGCTTCTTTCTATCTGGTATAATCAAATAATCAATAATCAGCCATGAGTGATTCTGTCGAATTTTTTTCCTGGTTGTGTACCGTCATCCCCATCAATCATCATCATTTTTGAACCTAATAAATGCAGCATCTCAACTTATCCTTTTCTACTTATTGGCGACTACTAAGGGACAGAATCAACCTAGGACAAAGTGTGAAGGAAATAGAATATACTTCTGAGATGTGATTATTGTGAATCTTATTAACAAAGAACAAGTCACCACTACTCAATCATGATACGGGATCTGTGTTATTTGATGAAAGATAGAAACAAAGTACAAAGTATCACGGAGCATTATGCGGTTGGGTAACATTGCTCTATTTCAGTTGTGTAAGGTTTCCTTCTCAGTTTGAAGATTTTACGACTTTGTCGGAATTGACCACATCACAAGTCATCACTTTATTAAACTTGAAGAGTGTTTGGTCTTGTTGGTCGTAACTTTTTATGTTTTGTAAACAAAACATTGGCCTACCACATTCATTTCTTGGCATTTCTAACTTTTAAAGTTGTCTTATGGAGAAGTTACCATATCTTTTTGCTGGTGGTTTTTGATAGAATAGGATCCTTAAGATTTTGGCGGATGTAATAACACATGAAAGCTTTTCATTTAATTTTTTGTTTCTAGTTTCCAGTTCAAACAACAGTCTATAAATAGTACATTCTGTATTATAAGAATAGTTCAAAAATTTCTACCTAAGACTTTTTTTTTCTCCGGCACTCATATTACACCTAATTAATCCAACTTTAGGTTGTTCCCTTGGGGTACGCTCTCATCGATTACATATATTACAATAGCTCCGAAGACAATGGGTACTAAAGGAGTGAACTAGATGATCATGATTACAAAATTTTTAGAGTTTCCAATAGAGCTTTCAACCATGTTAAAAAGAAATAAGAAGTAATTTCACGGGCAAGCCTAGAACTTAGATCTCCCAGATTTACCAAGTCCTGGAAGCGTCAAGAGTATGCGCATTCGTTAAGTGATTTGCAAGTTGTGATTGTTTCTTTTGTAATCCTTCTAATTATCTCATCTTTCTTGGATCAGGTTTATATCCTGGACGCTGTGTCTCACTTCCAGCACGAGAGGTTACTCGATCTGAACTGGAGAAGGTCAGTTTCTATTAGTGCCTCTTTTATAGTGTGCAAGTATACTGAAACTCTTTTACAACACTTGTGTAAAGCACATGACCTCCTAGTTGTTTTTTTAGTCAAAGAGATATGTTTGTGACGGGTTGGCCAGAAGACATTCTAACTTGTGTCGAAAACTGTCAGGTGCACAGCGAAGCTCATGTTGATGCAGTGGAAGTAACGTGCAACAAAGATTTAAGGTGTGGTTTGATGCCTCAATTTGCTCAGTCCAGCAAATTGCACCCACATATATGTTCATTCATACATCAGACGGAGAAAGTAATACCCTTGTTGAAGCTGCTCTGAAATCTCTGGGTTATTGCATACACCTTCGTGCTGTCTTTGACTCAAATGTCCGTAAAGTTCACTAGTGAGACAATGAATTCCTAGTCAGCAGAGAGTTTATAACCTGAAGTACAAACTGGTTTACATATGGCAAAATTCACTGTACACGGTTATTTGCAGTATGGTTTTTCCTCATGCGACTTCCTTCTATCACTAAGAATATTAGATGAATTCACACTAATTTGTTGCGTCGACTAGCATCTTTGTAAACCAAATTGAAGAATGTAAGTATTGATACTTCCCAAGAACGTGCTAGCTGGTCTAACATGTTGATTGAATTACCCTCGCACCCATACCCAAATACAGCTACTTCACGACGGACACATATGCAAACAAGGACTCATCCCTTGCTGCAAGGCTTGCAGCTGGAATATGTGCTGATCTTGCCAAAGCAATCGTTCATGGAGAAGCTCAAAATGGTTTTGCATTGGTAAATATCAAGAAACTTTGATCAATTGTTTGTTGTTGTTAGTATAGGTTTAGGATCCATTTCCATTGAAAATGCGTTATCTCCTTCATATGCAGGCTGATACTACGTCCTTTGTTAGGAAATCCTAAGCTCTTATGAAACGCAGGGACGTGAATGGTCTAGTTCGTCAAGATTCTTGGTTTTATTGCATTATCAATGATCAGGGAACTTTAAATTAAGCTTTCAGTGTTTATTCCACAAGGGGGATTCATCTGCTAATTAGAAATTGAGATTCCACTTTCATTATAGTAAGCCAAAGATGTAATTCTGCAGCTGTACTTATCTTTATTGTTTATTTGTCCTACTTATCCTAGTTGCTTGCATTACACCTCTTTTAGATAGTCAGTTGTATCCAGCGACGAAAGATGGCTGAGAGCCTCACTTCGTTCATAATTTTTAAACTGGTTCGACTTCTGACCAGTGAGCCTCATTACTTCAGGTGCGACCTCCTGGTCACCATGCGGAAGAGGTAAATGTAATGGGTTTTTGTCTACACAACAATGCTGGTGTCGCTGCTAAGGCAGCGCAGGCAGCAGGTGCTAAGAAAGTCCTCATTGTTGACTGGGTATGTTGTGGCATCAACATATCTTGTTTCAGTTGACAGAACATATCATTTGTCCAAATGATTTTTGCCGTTTTGTCCCGTGTGATTTTTACCTGATTTCCCGTGTTTAGATATCGGCCGTAGATTCTGAAAATAGATCATGTGGCGGGTATGTCCAGGATGTGCATCACGGGAATGGAACTCAAGACATATTTGACGACGACCCAACGGTATATTGAAGCATTGTTTTATTTCTACTGTATGGACTTATCATTGTGCGTGGTTCTGAAAATCTGAACTAGAGTGTCATTTATTAGTTCTATGTATCCATGGGGTTTTGACTGATTCAATTACTACTTCTTTTGTGCAGGTTCTGTATGTGTCCTTGCACCGGCATGAAGGAGGCACCTTCTATCCTGGAACTGGTGCAGCCACTGAGGTTTTCTTTCACTAGACAAACCCCTACACAAACTTCAGTAGTTATCCTCAGCTTAGTTATATATTTGAAACTGAAATAAGGCTTCAAGGACATAATTATATTTCTGAGTATGGCAGAAGTCTGAACTCTCTCCTCTCTATTGTGTAAATTTACTACTGTTTGTCTCTGTACATGTGCATCTTGATTTAAACATCACGGTGTCTATTTGGCTTGAAATGCTGGGTCACTTAATCTACGAGCGTGTTTCTTCCTGTGAGTCTATTTTGCTTGTGAGACCATAAGCATAAGAGGGCCTGACATTCTCTTACGAAATATATTTGTACTAATTGGCGTTTAAATAGCAACTGTTCGCTGTGAAAACAACGGGATCACCATTACTTATTTAGCCTGCTGAATTATGCACCGTGTAATATATATGCCTAACATTCTATTTATTTAGGATGACTATTATGATGGCTATATGGTGAGTCTTTTCGTTAACAGTACGGTCTTACGGATTTTATCGTTGTATTTAACAGTATAACCTGGAAATTTCCTTGCAAACAGGTTCCTATTTAGTTTGACGTTTGTGTATCAGCTTCGTACCACTTTCATTTCGGTTCACTTGCATTTGTCTATTTCATTGATGCAACTACCCAATTTGACACCCACCTTCAACACACACATAGCTTATTCAACGGTCCCTGGTTCCTTTTCTCGCATCGGACTAAGAGACCAAACCAAACCAAACCGCACAAGGTCTGTCAGTTCGTATGCATTAGGTGGTTTTATAACTAATTTTTGTTCTATTTTATCTGCTACTCGTGCACTACATCCCTTGGTTCGTTGCCCCTTTCTGCAACTTCCTAATTACTTTTGTTCTCTTCACTCTCTGCATGCCGTACTTCTTCAGATTGAATGCTATGCCATGTATCGTTTGCAATGTTTTGGACCTGTTTTGTAGCTGTCCAATAAATTCAAATCATTGGGTCCAGTACGCGCTGTCCTTCCGCGTATGAAAAAAATTCATAAACGTGCAAATGTGCGACCTAATTTGGGCATTTCGAAGAAATAAATAACTTTCAAACAGAAATTTAGGGTAATCACATAACTATAATGAACGCGGATTAGCCCAAAAACTCCTCCTACTGCTGCAACTAGATAGTAACTTCAGCGGCTTCTTTCCATGAATTCTTTCAACTTGCACCTCGACAACAAATGTGAAAAGCGCAAAGGTTATACCTTTTCTTCTGACTATTTTAAGCCATGTTCTAATTAGAGCCCCTATGTTTGTGACTCCCGGTTCGTCGATCTCCTTGTGAAGCCCTTGCGGATGATATGTTTTATTTCAAATGTTATCAATATCCTACACTAAGCTTAGTTCTCACCACCGTGCCTGCTTTCACTTCCGTCCTCTCTCCATATTCATGCTCATTCACTGGGATTTGATCGTAATTCAAATCTTTATTATCTATTATCTATTATATGAGATTCCTACTGTTCTAAAAATTATGACTATCAATTCCCATATTGGGGATGTTACATAGTCAGGCCCTGCGAATGTGTACTTGATAAAGCAGGCTAAAGTGGAGAAGTTCCTGGTTACATGCAGAGTTTCTAATTTAGTGCTCAGCTTGACTGTTTCTATATCGGGATCGAATCCATTAAAATGAATTGGTTCCCTTTAAGCTTATCACAGATTGCATCTCGCGCAGGTAGGCGTTGGAAATGGTGAGGGTTCTTCAGTAAACATACCGTGGATGTGCAGTGGAATTGGAGACAATGACTACATTTATGCCTTCTTGCACATTGTTCTCCCAATAGGTACACATCAGTTTTGGTTACAGTCAAGTCTTGCAACTTTCTCTGATGTCAGATCCAATTGGAGCAAATATCATGTTACTTTGAATCCGTGTCCCATTTCCTTTTTCTTAATGTTTTTTACTCGATTCAGTTTCTTCTGTTTAACTGAGGACTCCATCTCCATCATGTTCTACAGCAAAGCAGTTTGCTCCAGATATGACAATCATTTCAGCAGGATTTGATGCTGCCAGGGGTGATCCACTTGGTGGTTGCGAGGTAGGTTTACTCCCTGATTACTTCGTCGTTGTTCGGTGGATGGATGCATTTCAGTGTTTGGTGTTTTACACATGGACAAGACGAATTCACAACATGGATCATGTTGTGGCATGATCGGTTTGTTCCTATCAGGGTACTGTATATAATTTTTTAGTACTTTTATTCTTCTTGTGCAGGTCACTCCATCTGGATATGCCCACATGACCTCTCTTCTGAGTTCTTTGTCCGGAGGGAAGATGCTTGTCGTGTTAGAAGGAGGGTGAGCGTTTTTTGACTAATGCTTTTTGACATCATTTACGTGCGTTTTGGTTATCGCTTTCATCATGCTTGTATTGTGCTTGATGTAAAGATGGAATTTTGGACCTATAAACTTACAGACACTATGTCAATGCGCTTTCAGATATAATTTGCGCTCTATTTCGGCTTCAGCAACAGCCGTGATCAAGGTATGAATCTTGCGAGGAAATAGCGTTCTTGGGTTTACATACGCGGTACATGTAACAGTCGTCAGTATCTTGTCTTGTCTTTCTTCGTGCTTTGTCCCTAGAAAGAAGGCATCATCTGATCTGCCCTTGCTGGATCAAAAAATTCTTGACGTCTTGCAGGTCCTTTTAGGTGATAATCCAGGACCGCTTCCAGATAATCTACAGCCAACTGAAGCTGGAGCGCTCTCAATGTTCGATGTATTTGCCGTTCAATCCCAGTACTGGCCCTGTTTGCAGATACCTTTATTTGTGCAGCACTTGGCACGAATGTCATCCAGAGGACACAGGAAAGGTAAGCGTTAACACTCAAGGTTTCAGGGAAATGCTTACATCTCCTTCATTTATCCTTTTGACTAGAGCATGTAATGAAACATGATTGGATGAGTTTTCATGGTCAATTTCTTGATATAAGCGATTGCTACATTCCAAGCTTCTTTCCGCTTTAAGTGAGCTTATGGATCAACGTCTCTGCTACTGAAGGCAAGCACCAGTTTAAAAGTAGGGTAGGGACATCGTCTTTTTTTCAATAACTATTCTATTTGGTCCAGCGACCTCAGTCTGTCGACGAGAAAAAAGCTCGTTGTCTATTCAACATAAGCCATGGCAATGAGATGCTAACCCAGGTCCATATTTAGGAATTGTTGTGCTTTAAAACACGTTGCAATCTCCAATTGTGCTATATATACGTTTACCCCTTTTACATACAAAGGATATACGAATTCCCCTTTCCTTTTTCGGCCTCAGTTATCAAGTGATTTCTTCCTTTGATTTTAATATTTGTTGTATTTGATAATGGAGTAATATCCCCTACTGTTTGAACGTTTGTGGAAGTTTAGTTTTAATTTTAAACTTTTATATCTCCACAAAACATGTGTAGCTTTAGTAACGAGTTTTCCTTGTCACTTCCTCCCCCGTGGTGGCGGGATGCAATACTACGCTGCAGAGCTTCTCTTAGGTGAGCTGGATCAGCAACTGGAGTCATCACCGTCTGAACAAGTTGGGCAGCCCATTGGAACTCCTTCATGTTTGGGTTAAAGTCAATCAAAACAAAGCAAGTGACACCAAGGTGCTTGTGTGTTCAACTTCTTTAACCGAAGGGGCAGTTGGCCGCTTTTGTTAAAGGGAGTGAATGTGCCGCTTGCACGGGCACAGATGGTGTTGAAACCTTGCCACATCACTGGAAAGAGGAGCTCCTTATCCAGTTCTTTGTGTGAAGGTAATTGGCAGTATGAGGCTGCCTCGTATTCACTGCCATCAACGGTACATCTTGCTAGCTACGGCTACCTGTTGGAGGACACAGAATTGCAAAGTCTAGGATGGACTCCCTCGTGTAGTCGAGGTCAAGAATTGTAACTGAGTTAGAATAGTATAGCACATTCTTTAGATATAGTTACATTTGTTACTGTTTTATGTATGTTTATGAGCTTCACCTCAGCAAATTTAGAATGTATAAATATGTGAAATTTTGCGCTTGTAAAATTGATATGGTGTCTAGTCTGATCCTTGTGCAGTGCTTTACATATGTATCAAGATCGTGCATCTGATTTTCTTATTCCTACAAATGCATGGCAAGTATAAGGCCTCTCTGCTATTTATGTTATGCTGCCATGGCAGTCAGCCCACCTAACTTGAGTTGGTTGCGTTTTGCCAGCTATGTTGATGCCTTTTGTTAAGGTTTTCGCTTTTGTACTTGGTTTACTGGTAGCTTCCTTTCAAAACGGAGCGGCATGTCAATCGTGTTCAATTTAATCTTGGGGTTACCTTCCCAGATTGATTTTAATTCCCTAACACTCAGTGATGTTTTCACTTCTTCAAAACTTTCCGCACTACGATTGCATACATCTAACTAGAAACATTTCTTGTGTACTGACAAACCATGGATACAATGACATACAGATATCATGCTTCGAGTAAGTTTTCCAATTCCATTGAAAAACTCGGCAAGAACGTTTGGTTTCGATGTCAATTTGGGCTGAAATTGCTCTCTTTTGGGCGCTTTTGTGAAAGATAACTTATAATTTTTGGGAGAACCATCTGTGAAATCTTTTTTTTAGTTTCGATTGTACATACGTTTTACTCGATGCCAGCTTAGTCATCGGAGCTGTCTTCTATGACTATTCGTTCTTACTTACTCGAAGCACTTTTGTTCTGGAACTACTGTAGGAGCGACAAAATCTTACTGCTGTACACTCACTTTGAACGTTTGTAATGTTCTGTCCCAGAGTTGACCTGGAGATTCAGTTAGTGTGTGGATTCATAGCCTGTCATTGCTATATGCCTAAGGTTTTCAATGATTGTTCACCTCCATATTACATGCTACACTGAGTACTAATTATGATCAGAGAATTTCTATGACAGGAAAGCGCATTAACAGGAAACCTTATGTCGGCGGTCCAGTATGGTGGAAATGGGGTCGTAGGAGAGTTGTGTATTACTTATGGCAAGAAGCAGGATTCCGCAGAAACAAGTGGTGAGATTTTTCTCCTCCGGCGACTCCATCTTGATGTTATTAGACCTCGTAGATACTACTTATGATAGTCGAGGATGTCCATATGCAAACGAACTTCCTTCTTAGACTTCGATTGTCAGGTCTGAAAAGTATTAGTTTGCTAACTATTGGAATTGATACTGGCAGGCTTCGAACTACTAGGTAGATGGCAAATGCATCTGGGTGACATTTGTCTGCCAGATGTTCTGAGTTATAACGTCCTCAACTATTGTGTCACTTTAGTCAACGGGGAATTGAATTCATGGGTTTGACTATCGAAGTTTTATGCGTAGATAACGTCAGCCCAGGAGATTTTGAGGTCAATGCACTGTAAGGACATATCTACTTTCACTTACTACCTGGTCCCCAGTCTATCTAAACTGCTCTCTTTTGGGAGAAATTACAGATGTTGAATTTGAAGAGTTTTCCCGTTAGTGTATACGAGCTCTTTTTTTAAATCCATCTACGTGGCCTAAGAGTCAGGTTGGGTAGGGCTCAGCGTCCAAGCCTGCGAAGCTCTTGTCAAGTTTTCTCAAAACGTTTGCATTTGAGATAGAGCTTGGTCAAGCTTCTCAGTAGTCGTGCGTTTACCATGTTCTTTTTCTACTTTTCGTGTTAAGTTCATGAAAGTAATCGAAGTACAGACATGGAAGAAGAAAGTGAGGTGTAGGTATTCGTTCTGCCGTGCAATAAAAGTCGACAGTTTTTCCGCAATCTTTTTTACAGAGTGCATGACTCCTTTCCATGTATCAGGTTTGCTTATGTAGTGTTTTTGAACCTGCTTCGATCATATCCACTCACGATGATCTTTCTTACACCGCTATTAGCTTGTGTCCTCCAACTTCTACAATCCAAAATTTGTATGGATCGCCTGCAAACGGTGTTTAATCCCCATACAATCGAAAATGTTTGTATGGGCATATGCTGATGTACGTATTGCATCAATTTAATTTGAAGTGATTGCGTAGAGTGAGTATGCGAGAACAACCACGTCGTCTGTTTGAGGTTATTTAGTTGCCATGTACTCCAGACCTTGTGGAAGCATATCGCCAAGTGTACATTCTTCTAGGGAGCCGATTTGTCAGAAGGGCTTCCAATTCATTCCCTTCGCCGATCGTAGCGAAAGTTGCGTACACTCGGTACCTCCTAGCAGTGCTCTACGGGTAGCTTATTACAATGGAACGGCTCAGAAATACACGAGTACTTAAGCTTTACATGGTGAAGCTGTATTGTTTCAAATTATCTTCAGAAAAATAAACGGCTCATTACACGAATGATGACGCTAAGAAGACTGTCAGTATCTTATCTCAGTTCTCAAAGATTTGGTCTAACTCTCTATGGTGTGTACATGTCACGCAAAGCTTAGCAAGTGTTCCAGTAAGCAGTTTCTTACAATATACAGGTTATTGTGCTAAAGAACCTGCGTCGTCCCGGGGCACCTGCTCGAAAAACCATGGAAAACGTCCTCAGTTACTTGAGTACTATACGAAGGCATCGTCTTAGTTTTTGAAAGCATGGCAAAGTCTGTTTAGCATCCAGCCGAAGACAGTAGAATAGCAGTATGAAAACGGTCTATCGATGATGAATGTGTTATCAGCAGAGCACGTTAAAAGAAATTCCGAATCCTCAGCCCGGTCAGAAGCGGACATCTGCACCGAAAATGTCTATTATTTAATGTTGGACGTTTTCTAGTTACATTCCTCCTTGGATTGACCGCCTCGAGCGCAGTAGGTCTATGTAGACTAGCGTCATCAAGCCCGTTGTTGAGGCGTGGAATTGTCATCAACTTAAATTGATGACGGCGTCCGCCTTGATCAACCCCCGTGTCCAATGATGTGTCGAGGTCCGGTGCTGGAGCTGTCGGATGTGCTGTATGACAAGATATGAAAGGAGTGCGATGGATGACACGCCAACTCATCCTGTCTTGGCAGGAGACGAGGAACAAGATTGATGGAAGTCGTGGGTGTGCTAGAAGTTGGAAATTACCGTGTCAGGTACTGGATCCACATGCATAAAATCATCTCCGAAAAATCGTATTTTTTAAGACATTTCAGAGCAGTCTCATCAATGGGTAAGATTCTTGGAGTAAGCAAGAGTTTTCCGGCTCCGAGAATGAGCAATTCGAGTACTTTTGCGGATGAGGTACACGAAACATGAGAACGGTCAGACTTGTACGAACTTTTCATACAGTGAGAAAAAAAGCTTCGTCCAACTGATGCGTTCAATCCTGAGAATTATTCTTTCTCTCCTCACAATCCTCGTCGATTAGGATTAGTATATAACTGTCTCCATGACTTGACTTGAGCTATCTACAGAAGAATCAGGCACATGTAGTTATGCAACTTCAACAAGGTCAGATGGATTACCCATCACCCCTCAACTCTCTTGCACCAGAGCTTCAGAATCTGCGAAGTGATTTGAAAGATGTGAACTCACAACGTTCCACATACTATGGTCCAAGGACAATTGAAGTCAAGGTAATCATTTGTTTGATCTAAGGACAACAAGGACCAAAGGCTCAGAGCAAAATGGGCAAGTGTTGTATGAGTCTGGCTCAATACCGGTTCTCCACGGAAGGCACAACCATCTCCTTAGGGTGGATTGAATTCGCCATTTCTATGTATCCTTCGTCCTCGCTCACAATTCTGAACTTGATCGTTTGGTTTCACTTCTGAGTGACGCCGCTGAGGAAGGATCGATACCTCGTTCACCACGGGCAGAGTGTTCTTCTCTCATCTCGTGATGCGAGATCCAAAGCTCTTCGAAATGATTTGAAATGATGCGGAGAATTATATTTGTTTGTCAATAAACAGCAATCTGGTAGTCGACGTGGGCCGCAAACCAAATGTGGGGCTTCGCCGATTTACTGCCCTCGGCAGGTACTCATGCTGTTCGTCCTATGCGGTGTCACTCGGGCCCTTTTTCCAACTGGGCTTTGCCAGCCGGAGAGAATCCGACCCCGAGCACTGCGTGACAATGGTTCGAAGCATGATAGGGGGCGGGCGTCTGTCCCTTGGGGCTCATGCGTTGATTTCAGTCCCCGACCTTTGCCACTTCTGACCCGAACCTGCCCTTCGATCCAGTACACATCAAACGCCAAGTGGTGGGGTCGGCCAAGTGATCACTTGACATTGTTTCAGCACATTTCACTTTTTCTGTACATCACAACGTTACAAACCCAGCAAGCATGCATGCAATCCAGAGGTGGAAAAGACCCCATTTTTATCGAAAATAATTTCGGGTTGATTTAAAATACTTTAAATACCTGATTTTAGCAATCGTTTTAATCAATTGTATTAGACTATTACTACCTGATTAGTACAGAACAGTGTAGTAAGAAATAGCTCCTGCTTCTAGGAATTCATTATCGAATCTATCAAAACCAAACTCGTCCTCAACATCACATAATTATGGATTATTGATACTCTCTGAGAAGTGCTGATTGTTCGTCTTAATCAACTGTTGTGAAATTTTGAATGAACAAATCCAAATGAATTCGACTTCGATCGCTTCCATTTCAATAATTTTTAAACTCAGAATCACACTAGTAATGTATCTCGCTTGTTATTATATTAAAGACCGCAACAGCCTCGACTAGTAATAGAATTAAATTAAGAACCCAGATCTCTGCCAATAAATAATTACGGGTTTTTTAGAAAAACCTTTATGAAACTGATTGGAAAAAACCTGATGGTGCCAGCCCTGATGCAATCTACGAGATGATTTACGTATCATTACAACTTGCACCCAAGCTTTCAACTTCATTGTCATACATGCATTTCATTGATTTTCATTCTGGATTTAAAGTAATATAAAGTTATTGAAATTAGCATGTTAATGAATGAGTGAATGAGATTACAATAATTTTTTACATTATTTTATTCATAATATTTTCATTGTTATACATGTAGTATATTTTATGAATTTACAATCAATCAATGATGATTTTAGTGGATATTATTTTACACTGTTTAATTTAGATAGTTGAAGTATATTGGTTACATTAGTCAATACTTTCATTATTATTGTTCAAGTCATTGTTACATGTCAATGTTAAATATTTCTAATTGAAGAGTTAAAATTATTTCAAAAAATGTATGAAGATTAGAATTTATTTAAGCTTTCAATATATAGTTTTTGCAGTTATATATAACATTTAATTTTTATTAATAAATTTGATAATAAATGGAAATAAAAATCTTAATGCAACTTGCTTCAATCTTGACTGAAACTGAAATTTTGTGAAATTATCTGGATGATTAATTATGAATTTAGAAAAAAATTACTTTAACTTATGTTTTGATATGTTTTGATTTGACTGATTGTATTTTGTAAAGCCTATATCATTGAACAAATCAGTCTTTTCCAAATTTACTAAGATGAATTCAATCAATCAAAAATATTCAAAGTTAACTTTTAAAATATGGATTTGTAAATTTTAATCATTTCAAACATATTTTCTTATTAATTTTTCTTTTTTTTTTAGAATTTTTGGCGTTTAAAAATAAAATAAAATGTCATCAATTGAGTATGCTATCATAATTCAAATGCGATTATTAATTTTATTGAAAAAAAATCTCAACATCAGGCTTTTGATTTCAATCATTTCACTATGAAATTACACTAAAATATTATATCTTACTTCAATATTTATTTCAAATATATATCAAATGAATGTTGTAACAACATAAAATTTTAAATTTTGAAGAAATAAATGAAACTTAAAATAAAATTTTGGCTCAGGAATTGATTTCCAAAAAAAATTGATATAGACTGGTGGATTGAAGCACCTTCATTGATATTTTTATGCAAAATTTGATAAGATTATAAATGTTAAAAATTTCATTCACAATGAACTTAATTCCTATATTATAAATAATGATAATGAATCTTTAATGACAAATTTTACATGAATGACATAGTCATATTTATTAAATGGATGATTGAATTTTGATAAATGTTATATTTGTTTGAATTTATATTTAAGGTATAATATTTGAGCGTGGCAAGGAAAATTTTTGGCTTTATTTTCACAAATATTGAACAGTAATGTTATGTTGATTTAACACATGCTTGATACATCAAGGTGATCCATATAACAACAATGGTGAAAATATTTTTATGACTTATTTCAATCTCTTATCAATTCAATATCTATTGATGCAACTGAAAAAAAATATATTATTTCAATTTATCATAGCAAAGCAATTTGTATCACCTTGTTTTTAATGATGTGCATAAGAATTTATACTAATTTAACTATGTACAAGATGAGAAGGTTGATGAAAACTATAAACTAATGCATGATAATTTGTGAGATGTATATTCTATTTCTTTCTATATATTTTCTTCAAGTGATCATATAGGTATTTATAATGATCATAATCCACTCAAAAGTTCAAAATGAATTGTTAGAATTAACTTTGATCTTGATTTCTTTTACTTTTGATTTGTTTAACTATATTAAATTAGATTAGGATTGCAATTATTAAATAAATGTGCTTGCAAAAGCCATATATGATGCAATTAGAGTTTTAAATAAAGCAAACTTGTGTTCTTGTACTTCCTACCATGTGTTATTTTGTCAACTTGATTATAATTATGTTTATTATCAATTATTTTCTTCTCTCCATCAATGATGAAGTCAAATTTATCATGAACTGCTTATGAAATATTATATATGAGTATATGTAAAACTGCTCGCATTGTTAGCACTTGACCAAGAATCACAAACACACAACAATCAAGTGACAATATACAGCCGACACCAAGATGTAACGTGGTTCACCACAAAGCGCTACGTCTGCAAGGAAGTGCATGCATGAGAGTGTACTGAATGAATGTTTCAAGTAATATACAAACCTTGGGGTATAAATACTCAAGCACCAAAGACCTCATAGCTTTTTTTAGCTAGTATTTGAGTTTACTCTTTAACGGGAGTTAACCTCAACACACATATCATCCACGCGAATTTAGAATATTATTAAATGTAAGTTTTATCATCACATAAAATTGAGTT